AGAATGTTCTTCCATACTTGTGGGAACTGTATGACGTGTTCTCTCATTGCGCCAATCTGCAATGACTGTGGAACACTGTTCAAAAACTGTGGTTTCTTACATATATTATCCATTTCTAAGTTTTTTTTTTTAGTATTCGTATTTTTCAATTTGATCTCCGTTGCTAAATCTTCAAATAGCCAAACCGTTGTATAAGATTCTATGGATTGTCTTCTTTAAATCACTTTTGGTTTCTAAACTCACGTTTTATGATTTGCGATAATGTGTCCTCATCGTTTCAAGAAACGAAACTGTCGATCTAGAGCACTGCTGCCGWGGCTTTTAAASCAAAAAACTCGTATCAAGTGGCTGGCACAGGTAGAATGCTGAACAGTCATTCGCTGTTTTATTTTCGCACTCCCACCAACCTGATCACCCTCARAGTGCGCAGCTTTCCCTCTTTACGCACTCGCAGGCACAGGTAGACAATAGTATTTGCACGCCATTCGCGGATTTGTTTTCGCGATCCCACCAACCTCGTCACCCTGAGAACATAAAACTGCTAAACTACTAAAGTAAATATGTTGCTGTCTCTTTTCGATATTGAGCGATTTTAGTATATGCAAACAACATTGAGCATTAACGATAAAAATTGAGAAAATAAAATATAAAATATTTTATAATACTATTTCTGGCACTCTAAGTATGTCCCTGTGTATCTAATGAGTGATATTTGGAACTGTTGTTTTACAAGATCACTTCAAAACACACTTTACATACAGTTTCAAATATTTTTATTTTAAAAATATTTTAAGCATTCAGAATATGTTCTCAAAATCTTCCATAACAAATATTTCTGGTTCAGAAAAGATTTGAAACACAGAATAATGTCAAAGAACGTTTCTATTTAACAGGTTACAAATTGAAGAAATCTTAAGATCAGCGAATGGTATTATGTATCGAAATGTTGTTAAAGCTTAAAAACCATGAAATCTTATAAAATAATCTTAACCTCGTACATTATATATTCTTTCATTCTGAACTTACAAACTGTTCCAGTTTACGTAGGCCGTCAGATTCGGAATTAGACAATGGACGTAACAATTATTGCACAAAATCCGCTGAAGTCTATGCGACCATGCGTAAAAGAGTGAGGAGTTGTTTGTTTTTCAAATAAAAATTAAATGTCTATCAAGTTTTTTATCGAGTTACTAATAGTTGGTAGGTCCTTTTATTACCTTAGCTGTAACTCGCTTTGCTTAGTAAATATCATGCAATATGGCACACCAATCTTTTTTACCGCACTAACTGACGCAAAATATCGAAAATCTAGATATAATTTCCTAGATTAGTTAAATAATTAAAATTGGAAGAAAGAAAAAGCTTATTATTGGTATTAGTTCTATGATTCTTGGGGACTTACAATAGCGTACATGTTAAGAAAGCGAGACCCCATTAACGCCAGTCGAGCTTTATTAAGAAATGTGAGGTTAAGGAACATGATATATCGTTCTCTGATAGGAAATCATGCTGTGGCTGGTTATTAATGATCGCAATATAATTTATATCCAAAATCCAGTTCTCAATCCAGATCAACTAAAACATTATATCTTCACTCTTTATAATCACTAACAATCTGTTATGCGACCGATTTTTGTTCCTGGCAACATCAATTAAGATCAATTAGCATATACAAAGACTTTAATAACTCCAGAATTTCACCGTGCTATTTTAGTCATTCAAAATATGCACTTTCACTTAGAGATTCCTCATTCAAACGAGCAGCGGTAAATACTTAGGTAGGCGTTGCCTTTTCAATGCTAGCCTGTTATGTGAAATTATTTAAAAGGCCTGTAAATTTATGAAAATTAGAAATTCTCTACACCGCTGCAAAGCATCGCTGGGTATCCTTGCCTTGAAATACCTGCACCATCAAGTATACGTCTGTACGCACAAGCTGGCATAAACAGCGCTGCTTTTAGTTCTTAATCTGTCTACTAACCTTTCCGCTTCGCTATTCCTGCCATTGTTACGAAACAATAGATCATAAAAAACATGTTGCTAGTGGAAAGGGGTGTCACTCATTTTCTTTTTGTTCTTTCGTACTTTGCTTGTATGATCTACGGTTAAAATAATAAGAATTTGTTTATGAGTGGAAGAGATTAACATATTTTCCAACTTCAGTATACAATAATGTAATATTTATTAAAAGCAATCACATATTGTCACATTTAAATATCTAAATAATTATCTTCTCAAGCCTTCGAATACAAAATTTAAAAAAATTAAATTTTTAACATTAGGTGAAATAAATTAAGACACTTATTCCATAATTTACTCCAAAAGTTTGTTTTTTCTTAATACATCTACAGACATCTCATTATATATCATAGTCAAATGTATTATTGCCGCCCGAAAATGTGTGATTCTTTGCGTTGACACAACTTACGTGGCGTTTAAAACAGCGCGCCAGTTGTTCTTACTTTTCGCTGCTTGGCGCCAGTTGGAGATTCCATGCGAAGTCTGGTCCTTCTCCTCATCGCATACTCTCAGAGCTGTACTATTTTCATCTAATTCTTTCCACCGCTGCCAAGCGTTTTCTTGCCTTATCTTTCGCGTAAATTCAGGAGCTAATCAAATCTAGTAACTAAAAAATTGTTTTTGTTTTTTTTATATTTCGATAGTGTATATATTCAGAAGTACCTCCTTAGCAGAATTTTTCAAAACTCAAATTATAGCTGAAGTTATAGCCGTATTAGTGGGATGTCTGTTTAAGAAATTATACTAGTTTATCACGCTGCTTGAAACTTCACGTCAAACTTTAAATCCGTTGTTCTGGAATAACTTTTTTCGATGCGATTCCAAAAAGATGAATCGTGGTACAAATGTGCTTTAATATATCTCTATCACAATAAAAGAAAATCGAGAAATCCAAAAAAATTAGTAAATTAATTAGTAGTTTTTGATAAGCCGTCATTTTATGATTTTTTCAGTTTTGGAACTTCTGGAGATAGTGTCATTCGTGTTAATCAAAAATCCATACTTTCTTCAGATGACCTCAAGAGTAGAAATCATGGCGGCGAGGTTACTTTCTTTCTTCCCGCTTTACCTCAGGAACGCATAATTCAATGAAAAAATATGTTTTTATTAATTTTCTATACCTTTCAAATATAAAAACATAAAGCATAAAAACACATAAGCATGTAAGGAAGAGCTAAGTTCGGATGCAATTGAACATATCATACTCTTTCAACTTGCAGGAATCAAAGGCCGTGAAATTTCTTCAGATGAGGCCTAAACTTTATATTAAAAATAATGTGAAAGAATTAAACATTCATAATTCGATAAAATTTGAAGACCATAAACTTTAACTTAATTTTATTTATATATACCATCTATAAAAATTCTATAAAGCCTTACTTCAAAATCCGAATATCTCGAGAAGTATTAATGATGGCGATTTTGACCTTGAATCTTTTTTATAGCAAATAAAATTTCCTACAAATTTTTCACGTACATTCTTTCTATAGCTCTTATCTTTTACGAATTATAAACAAAAAAATGCGAAATTCTGGGGAAAATCGGGTTTAAAGCTCCGTACCACCTCGCCGGTGTGAGTTACGACTACAGTCCACTGGGCACTTTCCTAGAGTGAACAATTCTGAGAAATATGCGTCTAAAATCAAAACGATGTCATTAAGTACTCTGATCAATAGGAATTTAAAGATCAAAACTCACGATAGTGTATTTTCTATGGAAAATTTTTACAGGCCTTGGTCCAGTTCTTAATGTTAATATTAAGAGCTAAAATTTTCAGGAAATTTTTCAGGGATTTCCAAGGAAATTTCGTCACGCGACTAAAAAAATATAATAGTTAAAAAAACAAAACACCCTAATACATACATTGAGTCAGTTCATGTGGAAAACGTCAAGCAGAGAATCGGAATTCCTTATATTAGGTATTTAGTCCTAGGCCAAGAACTAGATCAATTCCATTCTAATTCAGTGCTAAACCACATTATATCTGAGATACCATCAAGATATAATCAAGATATCTCATATATAATCTCCAATCATAGGGAGTAATTGTTCGAAAATCCTGATATTAGTTATATTTCTACTTTAGGTACAAAGATACATTGATACTAGTTAAAAAACGCACTCTACTTTTCATAGAGATAACTCACATATTGAATTAAACATATGGTATACAGTTTCCAGAAAACCTTTATATTAGGTTAATGGGGTCTAAGGGAAAAATTCTCCTAATGCAATTTCGACATTCAGGCATACTGTTTTCCTGAATCGTATTATGAAAGAATCATAACATAATTATGCATGCGCTAGAAGACGAGTTACATAGTGAAAAGTTACACAACAATGCTGTCGACAGATTTTGATATTATTGATTACAAACGATCTATAGTAATGTTATTGAAACTAATTGCAAAGGCGCAATTGTGATCCGTCTCTCGCTTCGGTTTGATGTCGAGTATCAACTATCGCTTAACGCTTTTTAGGCTTAAAGATAGTAATATAGCACTTTAATGAAATTTCCACATAATTTTTTGTCTCGAAAATGTTTGTCACAAAAATTTCATGTAACAGAATAAAAAAGTTATCAAGCTGAATTTGTAACTAAAAGTAAAGTGGTACAGGTATAACCACTACTCTCTGCCCTATTATTTGAATGATATGCGGTGAATAGTAAAATTCCTAGTACGTTAAGAACTACTTAGCGTATCAAAAGAAAAAAAATACATTTCCTTGGCTGACCTTATCGTCCATTATTACATTACATATGTCCATTATTACATTTTTTTTTTTTTAATTTTTGCTGTAATAAATGAGGACACTTATTTTTGATTTCTATGAAATTTTTATTTGCATTTCTTACAAATAATTTTTTTTTTACGTTTTGCTTTTATTTTATTTTAATATTTATTTTTATTTATTTTTTTTTGATTTTTCTTTTTTGCTTCAATTATTATTAATTTGGTATAATAAATAACTTAAATATTAAGCTTAAGCTAAAGAGCTTACCTTAAATATTTTTTTGGGTTTTTGTTTTCTAAAACTGGTTAATTCACTGAACTTAACTTGCTAACATAAAAGTAAAAACAAATAACGTATACATTGTTTTGTTTGCATCTGAATGTGCGTGTTGATCTCAGAATGCTATAAATTCCGGTTCCATTACAACATTCTTTCGGCTGCTCCTGAAGACACAGCTTCCGATTCCACTATAACATTTCTCTCGGTTAAATCTAAAGGTTCAGCTTCTGGTTCCATTGTAACATTTCTATCATATGCGTCTGATGACTTAACTTCCGGAACGCTTATGACATTTCTTGCAGCTGCAACTGCAAACATAGCCTCCGATTTGATTGTAACATTTGCTTTCAATGAAGCAACGGCTATTGTTGAAACACTGTGACGCAGTTTCTTGCACTCGTCGGCGCATTTCGTCGTAATGGATGTTTTCACATCCCTGGCTTTCATGTCTGTCATAAGCAACATAAACTCGATTATATCTTGTACGATCAGCTGATTCAATTGCCCTTTCTCGGGTTTGTTCATATTCAAAAACGCCGGCGAAGGCTTGCCGGTCAATGTATGTGTAGCGAGTGTCTTATGATCGAATATACGACTTAACAGTTTTCGTGTTATTGCCGCGCCTGTGTTGTTCCAATTTAGTTCCAGTAAAAATTGCTTCAGCACTCTGGTGTTATTTGCTCCGATTACTACAAACTCAGTACCATCTACAACTATAGTGCGTTCGTTGAGGCGCTCTCTAATCGCATCCATATCAACTGGTACGATTTCCTTCAYCTTTATTTTCTTTTGTTGTTGCTCTTCGACATTATCACTGCTCTGATTGAATGAAGGTGAACTGCTTTGCGCTGGCAATGCGCGTTTTCCTGCGCAAATCTGTGCAGTTGTTTTTGTAGTTTGTGTTGAACTGCCTTGCTGTGGTTGCGGTTGCAACGGTGTTTCAACTAAGCTATTAAGTGTTTGACTAAGTCCCGGTGTKAGCGTTGTTGCACTAGCACCCGTTGGCATTTCAACTTTTATCGGCGACACCTTCGGGGTCTCCCATTYCAGTAATTTATTAGTTTTCCTTTCATTCGAGGATTTTGTCAAATCGAGTGGCTCACCGGGTGCTAGCTGCTGCGTTTTCGGCTTCATATTTTCTTTAGCTAAACTTTCTAGATTCATGCGTAACTGCCGCACCGCTATAAATTCTTTTTTTAATGAAATTTTGTTAAGCACTTTGCCTCTAAAATCATACATTATATGCGACAATGTATTGGGAAGTTTATTTTTTTCATCTTGAATGTGAGTGGATCGGTTGTGAATGGTTTGGTTGTGAATGTTCTCCCACACTTTTGGGAAGTGTACTGCGTGGTTCCGCATCGAGCTTATTAACAATGGCCGCGTTAGATTCTTAGGAAACTCGGCGTGCTTAAATGTACTACCCATTTTTAAGTCTCTTTCTTAATATTCRTATTTTTGAATTTTAAATATGTTGCTTTATCTTCAAGTAGCTAACCTGTTGAATTAGATAGTAAGAATTGTCTTTTTTAAATCATTTTTGGCTAGTAAACTCACCTTTTATGATTTCGGATGATGTGTGTTCATCGCTTCAAGAAACGAAACTGTCGATCTAGAGCACTGCTGCCGAGGCTTTTAAAGCAAAAAACTCGTATCAAGTGATTGCCACAGGTAGACAATGATCAGTCATTCGTTGATTTATCTTCGCGCTCCCAACAACCTGATCATCCTGAGAGTATAAAACTGCTAAGTTACCAAATTAAATATGTTGCTGTCTCTTTCCGGCTTTGAACGATGTTAGTATATGCAATTTAGCAATAACGGTAAGAAGAGAGAATTTGCACTGATCCTTCGCGAACTATAAAATATGTATGTAATGAGTGTTATTGGGAACTGTCTTGAAAATGTTAAAACACAATTTACATACACAAGTTGTTCTAATATTTTTCTTTTAGAAATATTTTAAGAATTCAGAATATGGAGTTTTATATATTTCATTCACTCATAAGTGGCATTAACCATTTCTGTGTAAGCTTCTAAACAAATTTTTTATTCCGCAAAAGATTTGAAACAGAAAGTAATGTCGAAGAACGTGTCTACTAAATTTGTTGTATTAGAAAATTGAGGAGATCTTCAAATCAGGGAATGGAATTACGTATTGAAATGCCATTAAAGCTTACAAAGCTATGAAAGCTTATAAAAGAATCTTAACCTCACACAAAATATATGTATAATATATTCTGGCTCAAATATGAATATGCAATGGTGTACAAGAGTGAAGGATTGTTTGTTTTTTAAATGAAAACTAAATGCCTATCAAGCTATCTATCCTTGTACTACCTTATCTCTAACATTGTGGCATCCCATTCTACCTTATCGCACTAGCTGACTTCATCTTCCAGATTAGTATAATAATTGAAACTTACAAGAGGATAAATACAAATTCGACGGTATCTAAAAGCGGCATAAACTTGTTTTAACATATCCCCACAGAAAAAAGTCTAACGGTGTGTCATCACACGGACGTGGTGGCCAATCAACCTTCTCACTGAAGTGTTCTCTCAATAAATCATTTGATTGTTGCGATGTTGACGTCTGGTTGCAACCAAATGTCGCCGATAACACGAGCTTCAATTTCAGGCATCAAATAGTTGGTTATCATGGCGCGATAACGGTCGCCATTACCGGTTACGTTCTCAGCGACATCATTTTTAAGCAAATATGGACCGATGATTCCACCGGCCCACAAACCACACCAAATCGTCTTCTTCCTGGATGAAATGGCAGCTCTTGAATATTTTTATGTTGGTCTTGTAGCAATTTTGTTTGTTTAAGTCGAAAATGGGTATCATCGTTGAACAAAAGTTGGCTCGAAAACGTCTGATCTTCCTCGAGCTTTACAAGACCCCATAGAGCGAAGCGAACCATCTAAGGAAGGTCGAGCGATTTTCGTTCTATTTTTTGTACGCTTTCAATTTAAGATCTCAACATAATATTTTCTTCAGTGAGTGCTGGAGGTGGTCTGTTCAGTCGAATATTATACAATAATGAATAGTGAGTCTTCAGATGGGTAATGGTACGAATAGTACGCTCAGTAGGCGAAAGAGCGTGAGACAAAGCGTGAAGTTTCGTAATAAAATAGAAATGCAACAACAGCGAGTAAAAAATTGTCAAAACAGGCATTTTTTTGGAAGCAAAAGGCAAATCGTATTTAAAGAAAATTCCTTAAAAAAGGGAATTTCGATAAAAAAAAAAATATGTTTTCCACAACGTAATTTTATAAACTCTTGACCCTGTCTTTAGACGTGGATTTCGAGCTTTCAAAATTCCTTGAAAGGATGCCCAAAAACGTGTCGTATGAGTTCAAGATACATTTTCTGCTTTGCCAGAAATCATCACTAGTAGCTTAGAACTAACGGTAATATATACCAACTCATTGAAACACCTCTCCACTAATACTAGAAGTGAACATCCCGATTCTCAGACGCAATAAGCTGTGAGTAGAAAAAAAACTCTGGTTCTAGATTACATTGTGTATTAGCGAATATTATCTTCTTAGCTGATAAAATAAAATTTAATGCTCTTCGAATAGAAAATTAAATTTAGAAATTTTTCATATTAGGTGCGATAAAAAAGGCTCATTTATAAATTCTAAGATTTTTTTTATTTTATTTTTTACTAAATCTACAGCTATTTTAGTTATAACTTAAGTCAAATATGTTATGGCTATCGCAAATTGCTTCATTGTTGTATTAAATATTTGTCAATCACATTTATCTTATGGGGGGTTCGGAGGATCGTAGAGAATAATTAGAGTTTTGTAAATTACATTTACGTCATTCCGTCGGCTAACGGCTGCTTTATATTAGTACGCAGCCAGTCAGAGCCTATTGTTTTTATCCTAAAGAAGTTCATCCCAAAATAGCTTACATAATCGATAGTAATATTTTGTTCCAAGAGTCGCATAATTATAACTGATATTTCGTTGAAGAAACGAAATAATGATGCAACAATGGTCTGAAGGCCAACACCTCATTCCCTTTTACGTGCATCTAAAGATGTGCGTGTCGGTTCAAAAATGCCATAGCTTTCATACCACTATTATTTCGGATGAATCAGAATCTGATGAAACTTCCACTGTTTCCAGTTCCATCGTAACATTTCTTTCGCATAAATCTGAAGACGCAGCTTCCGATTCCGTTATAGCATTTCTTTCGTATGAATCTGATGATGTAACTTTCGAAACGCTTATGGCATTTCTTTCAGATGAAACTGCAAACATAGTTTCTGGTTTGCTTGTAACATTTGCTTCCGGTGGAGCAAAAGCTTTTGCTGAAAAACTGCGAACGAACTTTTTAGCCACGTTCACGCACTTATTATTAATGGCTGTTTTCACATCCCTGGCCTTCATACCTTTCAGAAGCATCATAAATTCGATTATGTCTTCTACGATCAATTGATTCAATTGCCTTTTTTCGGGTTGATGCCTATCTAAGAACACCAGCGATGGCTTGCCGGTCAATGTATGCGTAGCAAGGGTTTTATGATCGAAGAGATGACATAGCAATTTTCGTGTTATTGCCACACCTGTGTTGTTCCAATTTAGTTGCAGTAAAAATTCTTTCCACACAACGGTTCCATTTTCACCTATTGTTACAAAATTAATACCATCTTTCTCTACGGTAAACTCGTCGAAGTGCGCTCTGATCAATTTCATATATTCTGAATCGATTTCATTCACCTTTAGTTTCTTTTGTTGTTGTTCATGGACATTATTTCTGCTCTGAATGTATGAAGGCGCATTGATTTGCGCTGCTTGTGCACGCTTTTGTGAGTGATGTGTTGGTGAAACAATGACGATCGCTCTTTGTGCATGCGTTGTTGTAGTTTGTGCGCCAATATCCCGATTTTGTTGTGGCGCAGTCAGTTTACCAATCTTAGATGTGGTAACATCAGTTGGCGTTTTATTTTTTTGTGACGACGCATGTGGTGTCTTCAAACCGTGTAATGGATTACTTTGTCTGGTGGGTGCGGTCTTTATATTTCTCGACAAATCGAGTGCCTTTTCGGTATTCTCACGCCTCATGCTTTCTTGAAGATATTTTCTATAAAGTAACTTTTTGGGGGGCAGTGGCGCTTTAAAGACACTATTTGCTGCCTTATGTTTTTCTGACGAACCTCCTTTATGTGAAGTATTAATAGTCTTTTTGTTTGTTAAAGGTTTCTTTTGATTGTTGACGGCTTCTCCTGTTTGTGAGTTGCAGAGAGTAGTGAGGTTGGTGATCGTGCCAATCGGCAATGATGGCGCCAGATTCTCTTTGTTGTTCAAAGACGCTTGATTATTGTTAGAATTCATGTCAGTATGTGCGTATGTATGTATGTAAAAGGTAAAAAGGTCGAGCTGTCAAAATCTGTAACAGAAAAAAAGGATAGCTGTATCACAAAAAGTAGTTTCATAGGAACTTAAACAAGGAAAAAGCGTTAAATTCGGTTACAATGAGGCTATAACATTGGACCGAGGCTATAGTATTGCATAATTTTTAAGTCAAATTTTTCACAAACTTTTGGAACGTTTCTAAAGCAAATTTGGAAAGCTTCTAAAATATCTATGAAAATAAAAAGTGGGAAAGGATATGTCTATTAAATCGATTACAATAGAAAATTTGAAGATATCTTACTTGAAAGCTTATAACAAAACCCTAATTTCTTTTTTGGTAAGCWATTTTTTATTCGATATATACCAATTGTTGCATAAAGTTCACTCAATCAGTCTGAGCTCCTAACCGTACTTTGAAAATGTTTCTTAAATATGCATATGATTTCATAAAAGTACTGAATTGGGTTTTGAAATACGAATTAAACGTTTCTCAACCTTTTGGGCGATCAGCAGCAATATCAGGCTCTCTAGTTGCCTTATTTGTAGTTGTCTGTGATAAGTAAATTGCATACAATTGCGCATGCGCAAATTCTTTATCACATCAAGCAGCTTACATCTTGCTAAATAATTAAAGTATAGTAAAATCTAAGATATGAATTGCTTCTAAGCTAAGAAAATATATTACAATGGAAAATRCATTCCTCAATCCACAGCAATTAAACACCGTATCCACCGTTATAATCGCTAACAATCAGTTAAACGACAAATGTTTATTTTCGACAACACTTTCGAACATTCAAGTGTTACTTCAAATTAAGATCAACTACCGTAAATAACGAATACAATCAAGCCATAATTTCAACGTGTTATTTTAGTCATTCAAAATACGCACTTTCACTTAGTGGTTCTTCATTTACACGAGCACCGGTGAATACTTAAGTAGGCGTTGCATTTTCATTTCATTTCGTTTCTGGATTGTTATGTGAAATTATTCAAAAGATGCATAAATTTATGAAAATTAGAAATTCACGAGACCCGTGGGAGGCATCACTGTGTATCCTTTGCGTGAATTACCTGCACGATCAAGTATGTTTTTGTCTGATTATGCGCGTAAGCTGACATAAACAGCGCCGCTTTTAGTTCTTAATCTGTCTACTAACCTTTCAGCTTCGCTAGAGTTGCTATTGTTACGAAACAATAGATCATACAAGTCACGTTCTCATTGCAAAGGGGTGTCACTCACTTCCTTTGTTTTTTTCGTTTCTTTGTCCAATAGTTTTCAATACCTAATAAGTGAAAGAGATTAGCCCTCCAATAATATTGTATAGCTGCACATTTTATGAAGGTCGTGGGAGGGTACTTCAATTTTATGAATCCCTTTGCTAAATTCGGTAATCCTTCGACTAATTTGCATCTAAAGCTATTATAACTCAACAAATATGACAGCAAAATTTCCCACAGCTGTAGGAGGAGGTATGTGG